CAACTCCAGAGTGGAAGAGTGTCTAACCCCTCTCAAGGAAACTGGTTCCAGAGCCAGAGCCATGCGTAGAGGTGAGTCCGACTATTTCTAGCTGGAACCTCTCAATCTTACACACCAGCTAAGCCTCTTTCCTCACCAGTGAGGTGACATTGCACGTCCCAATAGCCAGCTTCTGTAGCCAAGGATCAGACCACCAGGGTCCCTGACCTCGGCCACCACCCATCCCACATTGCACCCAACCCCTTTGGCCCCTCCCTCAGGTGGTGAGCCCATGGGAAGGGTGACCCACATCTCCTCTTCGGGCTGTGCCCAGCTGAGCTCCATGAGTAAAAGCCCAGCCACTAGGCGCTCGCCCGCGTGCCCCACCTCCAGGCCTGGCTCCAGAGTGGGGCCCCGGTGTCCCACGTCTGGGCGAGGGAACAGACGAGACCAACAGCATGAGCTGGAACAGATCCTTCAGCTGACCAGCTCTGAACCGATGGCCCCATACAGATTCAAATAATCCAGATGATTGCAGATGGAAGATGAAAATTCAGAACTCCAATACAGAAGCCAATCCTTCAAGCAGCTCCTCTGCAGTGCTTCTCAGCACTAGAGGCTTCCTCGCAGGTGAGCAATGTTCAGACTTGGCTCGGTTCTGGTGCAGTTCTGTCAATTTCACCACAGTTGACAGCAAGATGTCCATGAAGAGAGCCGGTCCTTCAGTGACCAAAGGTCAGGCTGACTGCTGAGGCTGGGATTGGCTTGGTTCTGGTTGGCTTGCTTCTGGTCCAGCTCTGATCAACTCACCCCACAGCTGACAGCAAGACATCCATGAAGAGAGCTGGTATGACAGAAAGCCATCAACAAACCACACAGTAGTCCCAGTCAGAACCAAACAATCCAAAGAGGTCCAGGTGAAAAGTCTGGTTAGAATCTGGAGAAAAACACCGGACCTTCGGACAACGTCTCTCCCGCTCGAGAGGTGATCTGGCCGACAAGCAGTGCTCGGAATGACCGATTTGTTGGAATTGGTCCTGGTCACAAAATTCCCGGATGGTTCTGTTTGTCTCTTTGAGTCCACTGAGAACCAAAATCGGTTAGGAGAGGAACTAAACTTTTAGTCCAATTCAAAATGGGGTCAGTTTGATGTTATGGACTGCATGGAAGTCACGGAGCTGCTGTCTTGCTGCTACTCAGACCAAGAAGTTATTGCCACTTTCTTTGCCACTTTCTCCACTCTCCTTGGCTCCACATGACCCGGCACCAGTGAAGGACCTCCCTACTGTCAGTATCCACCCCACTCAGCTCTTTTTATGGGACACCTTGTTTGAGGTTTCTAGCGTTCTGCTCCGAGGGGCCAATTTTGACATAAGCAGACAGCAACTGTTGATTTGCCAGTGGAGCTATGTCACTGTATGACCCACCCAGCAAAACAGGAAACAACATCTTAACTGCCACTTCCTCATCGTGTTGACGGACAGCACCACAAGAAATAAGCACATTTACTGAGAGATATCAAAGATAAATGTGCAGTATGGCTACACCTGGACTTATAAGCAGTGCTGAGATAAGCTAATGAAGTTCACGTCTGATTATAGGGTGAATAAGGAGCACAATGGGTGGAGTGGCTCAAACACAAAAGGACCAGTTACAATCCTGACCACTGCATTGATGATCCTGCCCACAGAGCGGGGAAACAAGTCAGCTTCCAATGTTGTGGGAAATAATTTCAGAAGATGCGAGAAGAGGAGACCAGTGGAGTTGTACTTACCTATGGCAAAGCAGCATTGTTGAAGTTCTCTCACAAGTAAAAAAAGAACAAAGTGCGAGATTGAAAGAGATTGGTGCGGCTTCTGCAGATTTGCATACTGTGCACAAAGAAACATTTGAACCATGACAGCCACACAACATTCAGAGCCTTCAGCATCTCTGAGTGAATCACGTCCACCACTGGTGCCCTGACACCCACCCAAACGAAGCACATCCTGAGATTGGGCTTGCTTTATTTTTCAGATTCACCAAATGGTTTGCCAAAACATCCTTGAGAACAACCAAAAGTTATTTTCCATGGGCTCCTCAAATTCCTCCCATACCTGAGTTTTTGAATCCACAACACAAAAGCCCAATCCTTCTAGCCACCTGGTACCTATCAGAATCAGAATAAGCTTTATTATCATTGTACCAAAATGCATTGAGATTATGTTTGTACAGTCATCTGAAAGATGATAGACATCTTTCTTAATTTACACATATCCCAGAAGAAATTTAATGTTGGCCTGCTTCGAGGCCAATTGGGGGAAACAGATTCAGATAAGCCACGGTTGATTAACTTTTTTCAGGCAGCTTGTTATTTTTCATGAGCCTTGAGTTCTGCTGGTACTTTTAATCCAAAATGGCCAGATTTGTGGTTTGATTTCCGCCGGTGCCAAAAAACAGAAACCCTGCTATCATGATTCCAATAGCTTCTGTGTTCTCCTGAGACAATATGGAAAGGCACATCAAATCCATGACGTATCCTGCCACGTGTGTCTCAGTGGAGCATGAGGGTTCTCCAGGTCCCTGTCACTTTGTTGAAAAAAATGATCGTTGAAAGTCCAGCTGACCAGATCCATGACAGTAGTTTATGTTTTGGAAGATGTGTTAATAGGAGCTCCGATACACAAGACAGAGAGCAAAAAAGCAAGAGGAGGACGTGAAAGGGAAGAAAGGCATCCATCTTGCACAAGAGCGAGTGCTGAAAATACAAACCGGATTCCAAAAAAGTTGGAACACGAAACAAATTGTGAATAAAAACTGAATGCAATGATGTGGAGGTGCCAACATCTAATATTTTATTCAGAATAGAACACAAATCACAGATCAAAAGTTTAAACTGAGAGAATGTATCATTTTTAGGGAAAAATCTGTTGTTTCCAAATTTCATGGCATCAACAAATCCCAAAAAAGTTGGGACAAGTCCATTTTTACCACTGTGTGGCATCCCCCCTTCTTCTTACAACACTCAACAGATGTCTGGGGACAGAGGAGACCAGTTTCTCAAATTTAGAAATAGGAATGCTCTCCCATTCATGTCTAATACAGGCCTCTAACTGTTCAATCGTCTTGGCTCTTCTTTGTCGCACCTTCCTCTTTATGCTGCACCAAATGTTCTCTATAGGTGAAAGATCTGGACTGCGGGCTGGCCATTTCAGTACCTTCTCCTACGTAGCCATGATGTTGTGATTGCTGCAGAATGTGGTCTGGCATTATCGTGTTGAAAAATGCAGGGTCTTCCCTGAAAGAGATGACATCTAGATGGGAGCATATGTTGTTCTAGAACCTGAACATAGTTCTCTGCATTAATGATGCCTTTCCAGACATGCAAGCTGCCCATGCCACAAGCGCTCATGCAACCCCATACCATCAGTGATGCAGGCTTCTGAACAGAGCGTTGATAACATTTATTTTTTTTTTTCATTTAGCCTTTATTTATCCAGGTTAGTCTCATTGAGCCACGAGAACTCATTTTCAAGAGAGACCTGTTTTTTAGGGAGCACATGGTGGGGTTAAGGGCCTTGCTCATGGGCCCAGAGTGGGGCGAATGAGGGTGGGGGCAAGTGTGGGTGTTTCACCTACCCCACACACAATTTTTTGATGTTGTCGGGGCCGGGGCGTGAACCGGCGATCTTCGGATCACAAGCCCACCTCTCTAACCTCTGCGCCACCACTCCCAAATAACAACTTGGGCTATCCTTGTCCTCTCTGGTCCGGATGACATGGCGTCCCAGTGTTCCATAAAGAACTTCAAATCATGACTCATCTGACCACAGAACAGTCTTCCATTTTGCCACACTCAATTTTAAATGACCCCTGGCCCAGTGCAAAAGGCTGAGCTTGTGGAGCTTGCTTAGAAATGGCTTCCTCTTTATACTGTAGAGTTTCAGCTGGCAACAGCGGATGGCACGGTGGATTGAGTTTACTGACAATGCTTTCTGGAAGTATTCCTGAGCCCATTCTGTTATTTCCTTGACAGTGGCATTCCTGTTTGAGGTGCAGTGACGTTTAAGAGCCTGGAGATCACGAGCATCCAGCTTAGTTTTACGGCCTTGACCCTTATGCACAGCGATTGTTCCAGATTATCTGAATCTTTTGATGATGTTATGCACGGTTGATGATGATAACTTAAAAGTCTTTGCTATTTTACGCTGGGTAACATCATTCTGGCATTGCTGCACTATCTTTCTGTGCAACAGTGGTGGAATTGGTGATCCTCTTACCATCTTGGCTTCTGAGAGACTCTGACAATCTGAGAAGCTCTTTTTATACCCAATCATGTTGTCAATTGACCTAATTAGTGACACTGTGAAATTTTGAATCAACATATTTTTCCTTTAAAATGTTACATTTACTCAGATTAAACTTTTGATCTGTCATCTAAGTTATATTACGAATAAAATATTGACATTTGCTATCTCCACATCATTGCATTCAGTTTTTTATTCACAATTTGTTTAGTGTCCCAACTTTTTTGGAATCCGGTTTGTAAAAAAATCAGCTGCATCAGGAGTACAAGACAGGCAAGCCCTGAAGGCCCCCTTCTTCATCTTGATGGCCTCTATCACTGCCAGTGTCCACCAGCAGGTCTTTTAATTCCCACTGTGACAGGTACCAATAACCTTCACTTCACAGCTCCTGAAAGCCATATCTGCAGTAGAGGCTGAGGGGCTTCTCTACATATAATATTTATCCAAGATAAAAAGCTGATAACAGACAGGTAACCAACAGTTTGGTCAATAACAGCAGTCATTTTTTGCCATTTCCTGTTGTCTGTTAGAAAAGAGACAGCTGAAAAGAGAAGACATGTGACAGAGGACATAATACATCACCTAAGAAACAAAAATAATTCATGCATTAAAGTTTATTTGGCATAATCAAATATCAGATTAAAATTAATAGTTACTAATCACTGAAGTTTGGTATATTTAGTAAATTCTATTTGACAGTCCTGATTTTTTTTTTTTTTTTGTGTGTGATTAAAGATTCGCTGGCACCACCCATAAAGCAGAAAGCCAAATTTAAAATCAAGGATGCCAAGTGTCACCTGAGCCCCCGCAACAAGGAGAAACAGAGAGACTCATCCAGGCCGAATATTCATGGTAAAGAACTGCAATGATGCAACTCAGCAGCTAATGCACAAATGCTGGTAAACCATGTTGATTTTCACCTTTTTAACCTCTATTTTTTACTCTGCAAGGAGACCAGTTCCCCTGCACTGATGACTGTCAGGTGACATTTGTCAATCTGAAATGTGATTCATCAAAGAAGCGACGCAGAGGACGCAAGTCTCCATCCAAAGAGGTTTCCCTTATCACAGCTGAGTTTGAAATGGAAATGAAGGAGGAAGAAGCCTCAGGTATGCTTTTTTTTTTTCTTGAATAAATAAAAATACAATGGAATGATTTGCAAACCTTCATAAACTCACAGTTTATTCATAATTTAACAATAAACATATCAAACGTTTAAACTAAGACAATGTATTGGTTTTAGTATAGAAATAAAATAATTTTAAATTTTATGGTAGCAACACATCAAGAAATTTATGAAAAGGTCATATTTTCCACTGTGAAGTATCCCCCTGTCATGAAACAAAGAGGGGGAATTGGAAAAACCCTTCGTCCATCCATGTTGTGAGCTGATAATGAAGAATAAGTGAGGTTCCAACTTCCATTTTGGTCTACAGTATACCTCTTTTCTTCTTCATAGTGTAATTCCTACCCACTTGAATATCTTGCACCAAAAACATGAATGTTTACATGCATTACCTTTTCAATTCCAGTCCAGAAAAACACTCATCTCCAAAGCGACAAACATTCATTATTCAAATTCTTCAGTGACGGGGGATATCGGCATATTGTTTGTTTGTATGAAACATAAACTAATTTTAAATTTTGATAGCAACATATCTAAAATACCGTGGCCATGTTTCCCACTATGAAGCACAGCCTCTTGTTTTCAAAACAGTCTGTAAGTGTCTAGGAAGAGCTGATGGTTGGTTTGGTCCAGAGAAAATTGTGTTTCTGGATGATGCTCATGTATGTTTTCTTCTTTGAATGTGAATGCATAGAGCTGTATCTCACATATTGGATGGCACGGAGAACTGTCCTTCCAGACAATGACTTGTGGACGTGTTCCTCGAAGTCAAAGACCAGGAGGAGGGAAATGTGTCAGGAGACACAGGGAGAAGTGGAAAGTGAAAAATGTAGGACTGAGGGTCAGTAGTGGAGAAAGTACTCAAACACTGTACTTAAGTAAAAGTACAAATAAACAGACAAAAATGTACTCTAATAAAAGTAGAAGTACCACATTAACATTTTTACTTAAGTAAAAGTAAATAAGTACTTACTTTTAAAAGTACTTAAAGTATTAAAAGTAAAAGTACTTGCTGAATGTATTACCTAATGCAATGGTCTACAATATTTTTGTGTGCCTACCGTATGTATATTTTCTGTAATACAATAATAGTTTTGTGCATTTTAATGAACAATGCTGCAGATAATACGTTTTTATTGTGTTTACCCTGTGACACCGTTCACACTTGGACTTGTGATTCTGTGCATCAGAATTTCAGGGATGACATGCAGAGTTAAATGCCATTAAGCAAAATAAGAAAGAGGAATGATTATATCTTTGGAAGTTTTTATTTAACACAAAGCAAAACCAATGTGTCGTTTTAACTGCAGTAAACACATTTAAGTAAAAGTTGTCTGCCTGAAAAAGGATCATTAGACCTAACAAAGGAATCTGATAATTTCAACTCCAGTTTGTCATCAACTCTAGTTAAAATACTGTCTAGTTATTCTAGTGAACAATATTTTAACTTCCTGACACCATTTTCAAAACTTCGACCTGAGTGTTGAGCCATTTGGAGACATCTGTTGTCTCCTGTCCTAACATTCCCTGAACTGACACATTTTAATATTGCAGCAAGAATTTCTTGTTCAAGTTCAGAAGAAGTTGATTTTCAAAGTTTTTTACTCCAGTCTGTCTCTTTTGGGAGAGAGAATCTCTCCTGCTGTACTAAACAGTCTTTCAATAAGGCCATGGGTGGCACATATCTTCTGGCTGACTCTTCACAGTGGAATCCATTTAGGGTGTGTTAGCTGTACTGTGGGTGCGCTCAGCTCAATGACATATATACTAGAATATACGTCATTGGCCCGGCTCTTCTTGAAGGCGGGCCTAACGTTACCTGCCCACTTTGCAGTGATTCAATGGACTAACTCCCCTCTCACCATTGGTTACTTTCAGACTAAAGAACAAATAAAAAAATGCAATGTGAATGTAATGTGTAACGCAATACATTATAGAAATGTTGTAAATGGTAAATACTGTACTTATATAGCTCCTTTCTATCTTATTTCAACATACTCAAAGTGCTTTACACTACAATCTGTGTCCTCATTTACTCATCCACACAGCACTCTACTAGATCTCTACAAAGCTAATTGAACAAATCATTCTAAAGAGACTAATCAGAGCTTTATCACATTCATACACTGATGGGACACACATCGGAGGCTATGAGGGGTTCAGTGTCTTGCCCATGGACACTTCAGCATGTGACTGCTGGTGGATTCGAACCCCCAACTCTCGCATTGGAGGGCGACTGCTCTAACCACTCAGCCACAGCCGCCCCATTGTGTAGTAGAAAGTACATATGCTTGATGTAAAATATAGTGGAGTAAAAGTCAAAAGTACCCATGTTTAACTCTACTTAAGTAAAGTATAGATGCATGAAAAATGTACTTAACAGTACAGTAACAAAGTACTTGTACTTTGTTACATCCCATACCACTGCTGAGGGTTGCAACTCTAAATTTGGGGACAATGACAGGTAATGGTAGAGAGCTGTCTGACATGTTGCAGGGAAGGAAGGTAGATGTTTTATATGTCCAAGAGACCAAGTGGAAGAGCAGCAAGGCTCGTAGCATTGGAGCAGGGTTTTACCGTGGTGTGGCTATAAAGAGAAGTGGAGTATGGGTGGTCCTGAAGGAAGAGTTGGCAAATAATGTAGTAGAGGAGTTCCAGTGATGATATCACACTGAAAGGATTGAGGCTAAGGAGCTCCCGGACATTTCATCCCTAATTGTACAATTTAACTTTCATTTTTGGACCCAAGATTGCTTTTTTGGGAGGGAGATGGCTAATGGCGCAAACCACAATAATAAAGTGATGGAGAACACGGATAAACCAAAATCCCACAAAAATGCCCAACGCCAACCTAATAACAAGGCAGCTAACAAGGAAGGAAACGTGGAGGAGGCTAGTGTGAGTATAGCGGTGGATGTAGCCGCGCTGGCTTTTTATTTTTTTCCTTCCCTTGTCCTGTCCGGCATTGTGACAATTAGAATAATTGTCTGAGCGTCAAAGTGATGCCCAACAGATTTACTTTCACAAGCCGAGCATTATGTCTGGCCTTAATGCTCCACTTGATATATAAATAAAGTTTTATTAGAATTTGCTTTGAGTTTGTTTCAGATGTAATGGACATGGGGATGAAAAACAAAGAAGAAAACAAAGCAGAAAAGTGAGAGAATGTTTAAAAGGTAAAGAAGGAGATAGGAATAGAGGAGAGAGAGGGGGATAAAGAGAACACAAATTAACATAATTGAAGTCTGCCTCTAGACCTGCGGAAAGAGAGAGAAAAAAAAGACAAAACCGAGAAACCACAGCAACAAACAACATATATAATAAAGTCCATGCTCAATAATCCAGGTATACAATCGAACATTTTTCAGTCAGGTCATCTGGATAGTTTCTTTTTTTGGTGCTGAAACATTTCTCCTTCGATCCAGAAGGCTTCATCAGTCAAGGAAGCACACAACACAAAACTGATTCTTCCCCCAAACAGCTTACTCCAAAGTGGAACAAACCAGTTATGTTGGTGCTAAGATGGTGTCTTTGGCGCGCTCCCTCCTCCATTGCCGGCCGTCTTCCTATCTATCAGGCTATAAAATTAACTTGGATAAATCACTAGCAATCCCAATTGGTTTTACTGATGAAACCCCCCCTGCCTTCTATTTCCCCCTTTTCTTGGTCAGATTTGGGATTTGAATATTTGGGGATTGATATAAATCCTAATGTTAGGTACTTGCTGAGAAATAATCTGATTCAAGTACAAAAAGAAAAAAAATCTGTACACCTCTTTTATAATTGTCTATTGCTGTCGCTGTTGTCCATTATTGTCATCATTCTTTGTTGAAATCAGGTCTCTCTTGTAAATGAGTCCTCAAGGCTCAATGGGATTAACCTGTCTAAATAAAAGTTGAAAGAAAATTAAGAGACCTCACAAGATGGATGAATTTGCAAATTTCATGGATAAGCCTTATAAAAATGAACATCCTGCCAAGGTTACTTTACCCAATGCAATTGCTACCAATCTATATTTCTAAGAATATAGCTAAAGGGATTGAAAGGGTTTTCTCTAAATTTATTTGGCAAAGGAAAAGACCGAGGCTGAGCATGAGAACTTTGCAGCTTCCAAAGGTTAAAAAGGGTTTGTCCTTCCCTAACATTAGACATTATAACTGGGCCTGTCATGGCAAAATTATTAGTGAGTGGCTTCATAATTATCTTAAAGGAAAGGAGGAACCGTTCGAAAACTGGCATGTAGTCCCTTTAATTTATTAGGAGAGCTTGCAGGTGGAAAAAAATCCCGTTTGAAGAGGGAGGATAGTCAAATTTTGCAAAATACAATGAAAATTTGGTGAAACATTAACAATTACATTGGAAGGAAGGAACCAATTACCTATATTACACAAATTATCACTAACAAAGACTTACTTCCTCCCAGCAATATTTAAACACTGGCACAAAAAAGGTGTCAAAATAATAGCAGATCTGTTTGACAATAATAACATATTGATGAACTTTGCCCAACTTCAAAATAAATTTGGTTTGTCATCCAAAGATTTCTCTGCATACCTTCAAATATGTCACTTTGTAACTTCTGGTATTGGGATGCTGCAGGATGTTAACACACTCCCAGGGCCTATAGAAAAAATCCTTATCAAGTTTACCTTGGATAAAGGATTTATTTCGAGATTCTTTGAGGTTTTGCAAGGTCGGGTTAATCATAGCGTGGGAAATGTCCTCAGACATTGGGAGGGAGATCTGGGGAAAACCTGTGGGGAGGAGGTTTGGGGAAACTGCTTTAAATGATCCCACTCATTGTTTCCAAGTAATAAATTTAAAGAAACTCAATATAAGATACTTCATAGACAGCACAGGATACCATATTTTCTTAATAAAATAGATCCCAACCGATCATCATACTGTCCTAAATGTAGGACAAATATTGGAACATATAGTCATTGTTTTTGGGAATGCTCTGCTATATCAAAGTTTTGGAAT